GATATCACCACTGATGTCACAGAAATACAAACTAGCATCAGCGGTTACTACAAACAGCTCTATGCACATAAACCAGTAAATCTGGAAGAAATGGATAAATACCTGGACACTTGCACACTCCCAGGACTAAGCCAGAAAGAAGCTGAAACCCTGAATAGACCAATAACAAGGTTTGAAGTCAAGGCAGCAATTAATAGCCTCCCAACCAAAAAAGTCCATTCTTTTGCATTTGCTGAGGAGTGATTTACTTCCAATCATGTGGTCAGTTTTAGAGTATGTGCAATATGGTGCTGAGAAGAATATATATTCTGTGGATTTGGGGTGGAGTGTTCTGTAAACACTCCAATATTGTCAGTGGAGTGATAAAATCTCCCATTATTACTGTCCTGGAGTCTAAGTCTCTTTGTAGGTCGTTAAGAACTTGCTTTATGTATCTGGGTGCTCCTGTGTTGGGTGCATATATATTTAGGATAGTTATCTCTTCTTGTTGCATTGATCCTTTTACCATTATGTGATGATCTTCTTTGTCTCTTTTGATCTCTGTTGGTTTAAAGTCCACTTTATCAGAGACTAGGATTGCTACACCTGCTTTTTTTTTCTCTCCATTTGCTTGGTAAATCTTCTTCCGTCCCTTTATTTTGAGTCTGTGTATGTCTTTTCATGTGAGATGGGTCTCCTGAATACAGCACACCACTGGGTCTTGACTTTTTAATCCAGTTTGCCTGTCTGTGTCTTTTGATTGGGGCATTTAGGCCATTTACATTCAACATTAATATTGTTATGTTTGAATTTGATCCTGTCATTTTGTTACTGGCTGGTTCTTTTGCCCATTAGTTGAAGAGGTTTCTTCATTGCTTTGTTGTTCTTTCTCACTTGCTACATTTTTGCAATGGCTGGTACTGGTTGTTCCTTTCCATGTTTAGTACTTCCTTCAGGAGCTCTTGTAAGGCAGGTCTTATAGTGATGAAATCTCTCAGCAAGCAAATGCTTGTTGGTAAAGGATTTTATTTCTCTTTCACTTATGATGCTTAGTTTGGCCAGATATGAAATTCTGGCTTGAAAGTTCTTTTCTTTAAGGATGTTTAATATTGGCCCACACTCCCTTCTAGCTTGTAGGATTTCTGCTGAGAGATCTGCTATGAGTCTGATTGTCTTTCCTTTGTGGGTGACTCAACGTTTCTCTCTGGCTGCCCTTAGGACTTTTTCCTTCATTCCAACCCTGGTGAATCTGACAACTATGTGCCTTGGGATTGCTCTTCTTGAGGAATATCTTTGTGGTGTTCTCTGTATTTCCTGGATTTGAATGTTGGCCTGCCTTGTTAGGTTGGGAAAGTTCTCCTGGATAATATCCTGAAGAGTGTTTTCCAACTTGGATTCATTCTCCCCCGTCACATTCAGGTACACCGATCAAGCGTAGATTAGGTTTTTTCACATAATCCCATAGTTTTTGGAGGCTTTGTTCATTTTTTTT